AGTTATTCTAAATTGATAACATTTAAAATCCTTTGAAAGAACATAAAATTGAACTTACAGGAAATTAAATTTTCAAGAGATTGCATGAAACAACATTACCAGTAAACGGGGAGCGAATTGCAGTAAACCCAGAGAGAGAGATTGATGGAATTTCAAATTTTATTGCAGAGTTGTTTCAAAAACGGTACTAAAACTGGCTGGAACGTTGATGTAATACGTGAGATCACTCCTGAAATAGTTTTTTCATCCACATTGTAATCTATAGGTGTATACAATAAAAATGAAACTGATCTCTGTCAGTACGTAGACGATGTTTGAATATAACAATTATCGTGAGACAATCTCAAAGTAATAGAATACAAAACTATATAAAAAACGCTTATTAGAATATTTGTCTGTTTGTTTGTTTGTGAGTTAGATCTATTTATTTAATATTATACTAGTGTAAATTGGTGCTATTGTTTTTATTCACGCGAAATATATAGAATTGAACAACATTTTTTAATGAGAAACATGCAAGTTCTTTACAATTCTTTTTAGCTTTCCGATTGAGTGGTAAAATAAAAAAATTATTCATCATCATGATATCATCATATTCATCATTTCAGCCCGGAAGACATCCACTGGTGAACAAAGGACTCCCCCAAACATATCAACGACGATCGGTTCTGCACTGATCTGGAGGCCTTCCCTTCCACGCTGCGTCTTCCGGTCCGCGATCGCCACTCAAGGACTTTACTGCCCAACGGCGATCTAAAAAATGTCTATTCAAAAGTATTTATAATATTAAGCCTATTTGAAAAAAGATATTTTTTATTGCTCGGTTAAAGCCACTAGCGTTTATATGGATTAATTAACGGTCTACGAGTACAGATTCGAGTCGAGGACTTACTAAGTTTAGTCGTACCGGCTTAATTAGTCTGTGGGTGACTGACTCCGTCTATGCAATATCTACCTACCTAGTTAGTATTAACAACTTAGTGGACACTACATAATTAAAAGTTCTAGAACATTCTAACGGAACGAAATGTTCTAGATTTCCTTTTGAGTGTTGTTTATGTAATGAATAATTAAGAGCTTCCTATCCTAGTGGTTTATTCGGTTTGAGTTGAACCGAAAACAGGTAAGTTTCAATATGGCCTATGGATGGGAGGCCTTTGTTTAGCAGTGGAGGTCTTATGGACGAAATGATGATAATGATGTATATGTTAGTTTTTATGACTTTTATAATAGATGTGACAATACCTGAATTGCCTTTTCAGTTATTTCATTTTTAGCTCTTTTAATTTTGTAAGATATGGGATAATAATAACAATATAACATACTTCTTGTCTGTTTTTGTTATATAAGAAAATAAGAAAGATTATACTCATTGGTTCAGCTATAGGGAAAGGATTGTGGATTAAATATTAACGAAACATAAAAAGTAAAAAATAGGTGGAGTCAGGTTTTTGGTGAAGGTTCTTCTTTACTTATAGAAATTATTGCTCTCTGAGACGAACCTGTAATGGTAAGGCAAGCGGGTACTAAGAGACTCCTACTTACTAAAAAAATCCACATGTTACAAACGGTACAAATTGTGTTCGTGAGTACAGTATATAGTATAGTAGTAGTATATAGTATAGTAGTAGTATATAGTATAGTATACAGTCCTGTCTCCATCACTCAGTCTCAACTACTTCAGCCGCCATGCAGCTGACTATGTAAGTTGCGTTTCGGTTTTAGGGTGCAGATTAGGTAGAGACATTACAGGACAAGAGGAATGCCATCTTTTTTATTTAATTATTTAATTTATTTACTTGTAGAAAATCTCTTATGGAGACGCATTTGATCGACTCTACTCACTAAAAAGAACACATATGTTACAGACTGTGAAAATCATTTGCGTTGGTACCTCAGTCTCACCTATTTCAATTGCCACGTAGCATGCTTTGTAACCAAACACAGTTTGTGTTTTGGTTGTAGGATGCAGATAAGGTAGAGACATTACAGGGTACAAAGACGAATGATATCTTAGTCTTCTGAATGGCAAAACGCCAATCTAGAAGACTAAGATATCATTCGTGAGTAGTATCACGACTACATGATAACGTGATATCCATTGTACTGTTCATTTATTATATATAGGCGACGGTTATTGCTTACCATCAGGTGTTTACCAATACAGTTACAAATCTGCGGATCAGAACAGATCTGCGGATTTACCTGATGGTAGGCGATTATTGATAAAACTATATGAAAATCTAATAATAATTATGTGATGTTTTTATCTCTTAGACGTATTATCTAGGAAAATATTATTATACATACAAATAAGATTGCTAAAATTAAATTTCAAGTATTATTTAAAATAACCTTTATTACTGTATTTCATAACATCTCTTATCGTTTATTACAGTTAAATATTTACAATTAAATTATTTTCAGTGTAGGTATGTGTCTACTTAGTTATTATAATGGGAAATTTTCCGTTTCCTATGTATTTAATTTATTTACACTATGATAAACAATCTGAGATAGGTACAGTTTTGCGTTCACCATAATATAGACTGTAGATCAGGGGTGGACAACTTGATTAGACCCAAGATCTCCTGTTTACTATTGAAACCCTGTGCAATCTACAAATTACATACTTAATGAAATCTTAAATTAAACAGCATAGTTTAGTACACAATCATGTAGTACTTTTTTTATTTTATTAAGAGAGAAAACATATTGTCAAAATTATTCTTAGTAACTAGGTACTTATTTACTTTTATATTAGTGTGACTATTGCGGCTGAGTATCTTCTACTAGTTTAGAATAATCAGGTTTGTAGGTATATACAAAGGTGCGTTGATAGATCACTCAGTCAGAGTGATCTATAAACGAACAGCCCAAACCATTGGATGGATCGGGCTGAAATTTGGCATGCAGGTAGATGTTATGACGTAGGCATCTGCTACGAAAGGATTTTGATTAATTTTACCCCCAAGGTGATAAAATAGGGGATGAAAGATTGTCAATTTTAAACCGATCGGACTGAGACTTTGCACGCATAAAGCTACTATGACGTAGGTATCCCCTAAGAAAGGAATTTGGGAAATTCGATGTAAGGGTATAAATTAACGCGAGCGAACCCGCGGGCAAAAGCTAGTTATTTTATATAAGGGAGGTTTCTATATAAAATTATTCTATTTATTCTGTAAAAAGACTTGGACCTATCACTTACTTAGAGAATCTCAATAATATTATAAAATATGTTAATTGATTTCTGATAACAAAATGGATGAGTATTCTAATATCCTATAAAAATTATTAAACTTACTCTAAAATTAGAAGTTGACTTATGCAGCACCGCAGTGATTTTATATTATCAATACAAATACAGTGATACTTTTAAGTAGCCCCATCCATTTTTAAATTAAAAAAAGATTGTATCCAAACAACAGACCAACCAACTAGTTTCAACAGATCAATCAACTATGTAGTTTTAAATTAATAAGAGATTGTATCTAAAGTACAGATTAAGTTTTTACTTAAATACATACATATTTACTGTAAATAATACTCACCAATATCTGTTCTAAACGACAGTGCTGATATCTATATTATGCGGATTTTGTGCAGGGATAGAACACATAACCTTTCAGGGAGTGTATTAAACCACTGCACTACCGAGCATAATGCGATGGCAGACATGGTAATGTCTGCCATCGCGTTATGCTCGGAACTATGTATATTTTAATATAATGCTGTTTATCCTTCTGATATTATAAAAATGAAAGTTAAGATATCTGGATGTTTGTAACTCAGTTGACACTAAAAGACATGTGCGAGTATATTGTATATATAATTTATGATTGTATTCCTTAGATATATATTGTATTTATCGTTCTGTTTATATTTTGTTGCATTTTATTTATCATTTATTATATTTGCACCGCCAACATTTATTCTCTGCACCACCTATGGTTGACTGGTAGAAAATGCAGCATGGTGTTAAGTCCGCCAAATGTACTTTACTATATTTTGTATATTGTGTGCATTGAAGTTAAATAAATAAATAAAAATAAAATAAAATATAATGTAGATATGTCAATACGTTTTTTTAAATATAATATTATATCAGATAATTATTTTATATGATTATTGCTTTAATAGTGTTCCGATAAAGGCGACGATTGACATTATTTAGAATATATTTAAGAAGTTATGCATGTGATTTTTCCAAAGACTCATGTTTACAATAACTTTTTAATTACTTCATTGTATTACAGTTTGTTGTTTTCCCTTAAACTAGAGAGTTTCTATTCTAACAATGTTATTTCAAGTTAAGACCAAAACTTTCTCAATTTAAATGCAATTTCGAGAGTGAAACGAGATATATAAGATGGGAATTCGAAGAAAATTGCATTTCGTATTGTTTACGCTGTACGTACTGTACAGTGAACAATAATGAAATTTATCTTAATTTTGAACTGTATTTATTATAGTTTTCATGGTCTAGGTAAATTTATTTGTTGTTGTCAATATATAGAGTTATTCATAAAACTAGCGACAGGAGTGTTTGTAATCATTTATTGTACGATAATTTTTCTATATAAAGACACAATTAACTTATAACATAAATGCATACAATGGCAGACTTATATCAAAAGAGATTACTTATAGTCAAATCAACCTTTGAATGATTAAGAGGCATTGTGGAATGTTGGAAACAGGTACAATAAATAGTACGCATCGCAATCTATGCTAATATTATAAAGCTCAAGAGTTTGTTTGTTTGTTTGAACGCGTTAATCTCAGGAACTACTGGTTCAAATTGGAAAAAATATTGTTGTGTTGGATAGTCCATTTGTCGAGGAAAGCTTTAAGCTATATAACGCTACGACTTACGAAGACGACGAAAATTCATATTTGAGAACTTCTATTGCGTGCGTTGCGTAAAAGATTCAAGTTACCCAAAAATATGTATGAAAGAATTATTCCTTTTTAAATGAACTTAAAAATTTTTCGCAAGTGTATATATATAACCACGCCAACGAAGTCGCGGGCACAGCTGTAATATACACATAAATGTATGCCTAAATTGATATGATATACATAAATTAATATAGTATAAGTAATAAGACTATAATATAGTATTATCAGACGTCACTTCATTTGCAACTGTAAACAAACCTACAAACCCAACAATGCATTTGTTGCTCATGCATAAAACTTAAACCCCCGCTCACTCAACTTAACCAAACGTAGACAGTAAAACAAATATTCCAACAAAATACGTTTACCTTTTAATATCAAAGTTTCCATTACTTTACCGTCGTACGTTTCCATTACTCTAATCTATAACATAGTCGTATAAACAAAGAGTTGAATGTACATTTTTCACTTTACAAATGTATGTACACAGTGGAAATAACGTGCTACTACACCTTTATATCAACCACGCTACACGCCCACCCTTCTCTCGTTCCACTGTGTCGTCGGGTGGGATTACGTTGTCGGGAGGAGCGGCAGAGGTAGCGAGAGCGGGCGCTTCACTCACGCGGCGTCGTGTGAGCGTCCGCGTTGGCTCGCGTCATGCGCTGCAGTCTATCCTAGCGCATACCGCGGCGCTAAGGAGTGTTGCTGCGGCTAGAGCAATTTGTACACACGCTATTACTACTAAATCTCGTGAAGAGGGCGCTGAGTCTTCTTCATCTGGTCCATCCCTAAAAAATAGAAACATTTACGTTATGTCGTTTATTTTGCGAATAAATACGGATCTAAAACAGCCTATTTAGGTAATAAAACTGATGATTAAAAATATTATAATTTTATCATTAATTATATATGAAGCTATGCCTGTTTGAAATAATATAACACGTAGTGAGTTTATGCAATAACGAATGACAATATGACTTTCTTGAAATTTGTTTTTGTTGTAGCTCAGTAGATTAAAAGATTTATATACAGTTACAACAAAATAGATATCACTGCTAGAAACAATGTAAAGAGGGAATAATTGTACTGCCATTGCTGTATATTAATAATAATTGACGACCTCGGTGGTCTAGCGGTCTAGCACACCGCTTTACGACCGATGGTCGCGGGTTCGATTCCTCGCACGACACAAACATTTGTATTCATGAGTATGATTGTTTGTATCGGTCTGGGTATTTTCTACGTATAATATGTATGTATTTACAAAAAAAAAAATTATCTATGTATTTGTATCAGTTGTCTAGTACCCATAACACAAGCTTTAGCTAGCTTAACTTGGGTCTAGATGGCGCTGTGTGAATTGTCCTGAGATTATTATTATTATTATTATTATTATTATAATTGTACTGTTATTGTATTTAGATATAATATAATAAAATTATTAATACCCATGGTCTACACCGGATGGATCCAATATTGTTCTACAGCATTGAACGACCAATGCAAGCAGCAGACAAGCGGCGGCGGCCCACAAAACGCTCGCCGCGCCCGCTCCCGCTGCCGCTGGGCTCGACACAGCGCTCCATCCCCGCGACGTATGGATTGATACCGCTACACGTGAAATAATCGTGTTACGGCGATACGGTAGTCATGTTCGCGTCGCTTTACGTATTCCATTTTATAGCATATGCTCTTTAGAATAGCATTAGGTGGGGGTTTTTTATAGTCACGGTGGGGCGTCATATCAATAAAACATGACATTCAGTGGTAAAGCGTATTCTGTGAGTGTCATGTTATGTGCCTATTTTCAATGGCTTTGACATACAGAGAGGGATATATGAAACGTTTTGGTGGGTTTCACAAAAGCGTTCACTATGTGATATCTTATCGAATATATACGCAGACTTATTTGTAGAAAATATTGTATGGATAAGCTTTGCGTGTTCTTCGTGTTCATTGTCCTTATTTGTACGGGTAGGCAGGATCCTTTCTTGCATTTATTTTTTTAGATATAATAAAAATATTTCTCAGCAAAGGTTTCGGTGGAGAGTATCATAGATTTGATAGGTACTGTTATTGAGGTGATTGTGATAGAAATACGAAATTGTTATTTTTAATGCTATACATTAAAAAAAAACAATGTGACGGTGCACCTGAAGGTAACTGTCACCTGAATATTTATTATGTACAGACATCATGTTATAATCTGCTCATGTTAGTTATACATATAGACGTTCCTCTTGAATCACTCTATCTATTAAAAAATGCTTCAAAATCCGTTGCGTAGTTTTAAAGATTTAAGCATGGGGACGGACAGACAGCGACATCGACTTTGTTTTATACTATGTAATGATATTGTGTTTGTCATATAAAATTACACTTTAGATTTGTTCTTGTATTATCTATTACATTATCATTTATATAGTCCGTAGATTAATTAGAGTCTCACATAAGTGTCTGTAATGGATCTACATGAATAAATATATTTTGAATATTCTAAAAATACTAACTATTTTCACTGTATAACCCCGTGTTTTTTCAAGTATTATAATAATTAAAATATCTAAATTGAATTACAAGAAGAGAAATAATAGAAAAAGTACTAAACAATTTATTGGAAATATTCGAATGCAGAATGAGTCATCTTTCGAAATCCTTAAAGGATGAGATTCAAATTGAAATAATATATTCAGTTCTGCAAATATCTTGTGAAATCGTATCCGGAGATGCTGAATGTAATATCAGTCTAAACTAGTTCAATTTTAGTCTAAAATCGAACGACAGCAAATGCATCAATCTGCTATGCATACCTTGAGAAAACTAACTGAAAACTTAGAGAAATATTTAACTCTACATAGAGTCTGAAACTCGATGAAAACGTTTCGTAGATTTCCTTTAATTTATTTGGTTAACAAGTTAAAATTATCTATATACTAGTTGTACCTGCAGTTTCACACGCGTGATATTTATAGCCTATATGTTATTCTGATGTATAAGCTATATTACTATAATTCATCAAAATAGGTTCAGTAGTTTTTGCTTTCTTTTACGCAAAAACTATTGAACGTATTTTGATGAAACTTTACAGCAATGTATATATATTTCAACAATTTGTATTGAACTCATTATAAATTATATGACATACTTATGTCGAAGAATATAAGTGTAACAACTCCGTCTTCAGAAATAACAACATTTATGTAGTAATAGTCGCAATATGTTTTGTATGATGTATATAGGCGTCGGATTCTATATATCTATATATATTCTAGCAGACCCGCCAACGCGGTGCTGTGGCTGACAGTTTCTTTATATATGTATAAAAATAATTTGTAACAAAATAATATTGCGAATATAAGTAAGCTATTCTATCTTTCAAGTTAGATCAAATTGCACACAACGTGCAAATCAAATTTGCAATCGGTTCAATAGTTTAGGAGTCTATCGCGGAGAAACATGTATATTTTAAATAATATATATAAAGATATATATATCTATCCATATCTAGATATATATATCCATAAGGTGGTTTATCTAGTCTTTTCTAACTATTCTTCAATGACAGCCTAGGTTGTCTAGCACAGCGCTATTACGATTCTTCGCATCGTTCAAACATTTGTATTCATGAGTATGATTGTTTGTATTGGTCTAGGTGTTTTCTATGTATATTATATATGTATTTACTACATAAGTGAATCTAAATATTTATATCAGTCGTTTATAACACAACACAAGCTCTGCTTAGCTTGCGACTAGATGGCGGTGTGTGAATTGTATTGTTATTATTATTATTTATTCCTATGCTGTTATTGGTAACTACCCGTTACAGCTTCATCGGAGAAATGATGGCGATTTGGAGAAGGTACTTTAAATGCGATAAAGGACTTATAACTTCACACAAGGACATATAAGTCACTGTAGACGACAAACGTTCTTTTCGTATTTTTAACTATGTTTTTTGTATACAATTTTTTACGTTTGTATATTTTATCATCATCATCATCATCTCAGCCCGGAAGACGTCTACTGTTGAACAAAGGCGTCCTCCAAAGATCTTCACGACGATCAGTCCTGCGCTTCTCGCGTCCATCGCCTTCCAGCGATCTTGACCAGATCGTCGATCCACCTTGCTGGATGCTGGAGGCCTTCACACGCTGCGTCTTCCAGTCCGTGTTCGCCACTCGACGACTTTACTGCCCATATTTTTTTAGTCCTATCATATAGTTCTGTCAAATATACTACAAAGAATTGGTGAGTTAGTTATTTTATCATTACATAGTATAAAACTAAGTAGCTGTCGCTGTTTGTCCGTCCCTATGTATGCTTAAATCTTTAAAACTACGCAACGGATTTTGAAGTGGTTTTTTTAATAGACAGAGTGATTCAAGAGGAAGGTTTATATATATAATACATGTACACCCGTGCGAAGCCGGGGCACGTAGCTAGTTTACATATAAAAAACACATTCACTGCACTTGCCTTCCGTATTACGCCTTGCTCTGTGTTTAAACCACGGCTCAGGCTGTCGTAATTTATAATCTTAGTTTAAAATCGATCTGAGATCTGTTTAATTGAGGTAGTTTTGGTATAAAGTCTATCATAATCTCTATTCATAAATATCTATTACCTATTACAGCTCTATATAGATATGGCAGCGAAGCTATAGGATTTTGAGACCTGACAGTAGAGCATAAGGCACACTCTAGAATGTCAATGCATCAGGAGTTTCTCATGTTATACATGTCTACGGTTTCAAGACTAGATATTACTCCAGCTTATATTTGTATGTCTATCTAGTTAAATATTTTTCCAGTTTGAGTTTCACATAGCAGTAACAAATTTTGTGGAGTCACGGTATTAGAGCAGTATTGTTAGTATATTTCTAGATTATTAATATTATTGTAATTTGTATAGTTGCTGATTTTTTTTTATTTTATTTTTTTTAATATTGATTTTTTATGACCTTTTGTTATCATGATTATTATTATTAATGTATGTTAGCATACGTTTATTCCTTGGTGAGTGCATTGGTATTGTAGTGTAATACTCACTGAGAGCATGTAATTTTATAAATATATAAATAAAAATTAACACTAATGATTTCTCTCTGATACCTGCGGCAAGTACGCTGATGCCTCCAGCTGGGATGCCCAGCCCCATATTAAATTTCTGCCTTTCTTCTATAAAGGCCACACTGCCCATGACCATAGCTGATATGCCGCATACTATCTGAAATGGAAACACATAGTAAGAAGAGTGAAGACTGATATGAATAAAAAAATAAAAATCTTTTGTTACCTGATTGAATTTTCTGAGAAACCCGTGTGACATTTGCCATATTGATTTTGTTATTATAAAATATACTCTACGTCATGGGATTAAACTTTAAAATTAATTGAGACTACATTAATTAAAACAAAAAGAAAGTTCACCAACTATAACAGGAGTACTGAAAATCGTACCAAAACTACAAGACTATATTTTGATTTGAAATTACTCTGTACAAATTTACAAGGTGTAATGTACAGAGTAACTAAAACTCTAACTAAATGGTATAAGGTAAATAAACAATTGATCTGTAATTTATTATGTTTTATTAATATGAAGTTATTATGCACAGTGATCAGTCATTGATCAAAATACAGTCATCCTCGGATAATTAGACGAGTTCTTTAAGTACTTATATACATATATATCTATACTCTATACATATAAATAAAATTGGAGTGTCTGTTTGTACATAATATTGAAATAATCGTTTTTTACTACATGCATATGAATATAAATACGGTATATACACCAAAATAACATTTTTTACAATTTTTGTCTGTCTGTCTGCCTGTTTATTCCGGCTAATCTCTGAAATAGCTAGACCGATTTTGAAGAGACTGTCTCTTGGCAGGTAGCTGCTGTAATAAGGAGTAACTTAGGCTACTTTTATTTTAGGAAAATAAAGTTAAATGCCGCGCGGACGAAGTCGCAGGAACAGCTAGTGTATACATATAAATAATAATACTGATCTAGCCGTTCCGGCTACGGCGACCCCTCAAGGACTCCCACTCATTACATGTGCCATGTCAGGATACTATTTAATACAAACATAATAATACGAACATAGTATATATGTATATATAAATACTCTACCAAATATTTAAACAACATATTATTGATATTAGAACAGTAATATTTAGAACTAGCTTTTGCTCGCGGCTTCGCTCTCTTTAATTTATCCCTTTAGGGGTGGAATTTATCAAAATCCTTTCTTAGCCGTCATAGTAGCTTTATGGAAGCAAAGTCTCAGTCCGATCGATTTAAAATTGACGAAGTTTCATACAAACTTTCATCCCCTATTTTATTATCCCCTTGAGGGTAGAATGAATCAAAATCCTTTCTTAGCGGATGTCTACGTTATAACATCTACCTGCATGCCAAATTTCAGCTCGATCCGTCCAATGGTTTGGGCTGTGCGTTGATAAATCACTATGTCAGTCACCTTTGTGTTATATATATTTAGATTATCATATTGTTAAAATGGCTAAGTGTCTTCCAGTACTCTTTCCACACTCTTCGTAAGTCACTTTCAAAATGCCTGTCTGATCTTCATCATGTTGCTGACGAGTCATCAAATCTACGACATCATTTCTGCGTATGCCACTGTGTGAGGGTACCCATACAAATTCTATAGATAGAGTGTTGTTTGTTTGTAATTACTTTATTGTACAGATTATGTATTAAAGGACACATATAACTTAGAAAATAAGTAAGTACAATTGTAGACTTATCTCAAAAGAGATATTATGACTTTCTTTTATTATTCTCTGTATTACCTGTTTCTGAATCTTCGAATTTAGTTTATTCTTTCTTTTCATTTAATTTATATTTACTTTAATCCTATTCAAAGGAAGTTCTTGAAACTGATATACATTGACAAGGCTAATATAATTTTAATGGTTTCCATTGATGTATTACATACGGACGCGTTGGAATAAATATTACTGCACATTTCGTTGCGGTACTAGCACCGCAAATCCCTTATTAAAACGTTGCACCCGTTGCTATATTTTATTGATATAATGAGTGGTCTGTACTTCGTTCTTGTTCGTATAAAATACTTAATATAAATTTAAGCAAACCAAGATATTATAAAAATCGTGTATGTTCAAGCAGTATTTCAGTTGATTTTTATATTATTATATTAAAAAGTTTCCATTCTCTTCGTAGGCGATGTGTTCTCTAAATATCGGTGGCTGTAGAATACCTCTATGTATTTCCCCTTAAAAAATAAATTACTTCCGTCCCACATAGTTTGCAAGCAAAAAGATCGTCCTCTTTGTTAAGTTTATAAGTGTTATTATAAGTGTCCCTAATTAATATTAATTAGCGACGTTAAGAGAATAAAAAGGCACTCGATTGTCGAACTTCAAATTGAATCGTTCGTACGCCATTTTCTTACGAAGCGTTGAAATTGTTAAATGTTGGATGAAATACAAGAATCTAATAAGATTATATTTTGCTTATTTGTGTATACTTATTTGAATTTGAAAAAGGACATTTCATTGAATAGTACATTGAATGTTACTTTTTACTTTTTTACATTGAATAGTAGTTTTTTTGTTCAAGTATTGTTTGGGTAGGTATAACACAGATATTAATATAATAAACGCAAAAGTTTTGTTAGTATGGATGGATGAATATTTGATTAAACCTTACAGCAATATAGCTTTTACATCAGAATAACATATAGGCTATAATTTAAAAAGATATTATGTAAATTGGGAAAATATAATAAAAAATATCAAGAAAATGCAGACGAAGTTGCGCCCGTCAGATAGTATAGGTATAAATAAACAGGTATCAGAGGCATTTTGAACTGTCAATGTCATGCTGAAATATTTGACATGTAAATTTTTTTGGTAAGTACATTAGAATTCTTAGGTTTGTTTTAGTTATTTCCATCGCCATACTCAATATAAGTTGTAACACAAAAGGGCAGATCTGAATTACCAGTAGGATACGGCACACTCATAAATATTTCCTATTTATGAGTGTGCCGTATATTGCCGTATATATATATATATATATATATATATATATATATATGTATATATATACCCAAATAAATATGGGAATGCATGATTGACATATTTATTCACAGTAAAATTGCTGGGTTTAGTAACACCAGAGAATACATAATAGTCGGCGGGTAACACGAAATATATTTTATATAATATATTTTACGGGGATTCTTCTGGGATTTCGTTTGCTTTTCCTTTCATTTTCCACCCGTGTTTATTTCAGAAGGTGAAATGAAATGGTCAGTTCGGGCAAAATATCAAATTTCTAACCATTGTGTTTGGAGAGTAAGGGGATTGATGATACTGGAGACTAGTAGCCGCAATGTAACATGTCATGTCAACTTACTTTCAAATTCTTAAATCTTATAATTTTAATATCATGAACGCATAAGTTTGTGAGTATGGATTGATAAAAAGAAAAATGGATGTTTGTCTGTCTCTTTCACGCCAAATCCACTGAACGGATTTTGATTAAACTTTACAGTAAAGCTTATACATCAGATTAATACTGACTATAAATATCATGCAGTTGAAACTGCAGACGCAGCAGAAATATAAAATTGTCTGCATAATCAAAAATAAAAGCAGAATCAAATTTGAGAACATAACTACTACTTTCCCGGCCTTATCCCATCTTAATTGCGGCCGGCTCTCTTAATTATTCGTCTCCAGAGACTACTTGTCTGGATCGTGATTGGGTCTAAAGTTTTATATGATAGATTTTTTTAAATGCGGCTATAAATGTCTCCAGTTACATGCTGTCTTCCGAGCTTCTTTTGTTTATTTGAAAACATAAACTTTCAATGATAAATAACAACAATATACCATCACGACTTTTATAGGAATTGGGGCAGTCAGAAGTATATTCAACTGTCGATATTATAAGGAATACAACACTTACATAACATACCCACATTTCGCTCAGTATATTTGAATCCATCGTGACAGGGCGGTGAGCGCCGTTGTTTGGAATACGGCTTGATAGCGGCGTTTCCTTCACCAGACAGTTAGTCTTAATATAATTTGACATATAAAGAATTTTTTATAGTCGGTAAACTTGAACTCACAACCTCTGATGTAATTTAGGTTGTTAAATTACTAGGAAACGGCGATCTCTACATCTTCACTCATAGTTATTAAGTAATTGCGAAGTATGGATTCATTTGAATATTCATGCTCTCATATAATGTGACATATAAACCAACAGAGGATCACTTAAGTAATAACCAAGATGGATATTATAATTTGTAATGGAATGTTTACCTTCGTACAAATTAACCCTTTTTGGGTGTTAAGGGATTATTAATGAATTAATTTTCCCTAAGTATTGGATATTCAGGAAGGATATATAGAATATTATATAAACTCCTTGTGGGTGTAAGAAATGTGTTATAATAATAACTAGCTGACCAATGCTGTTTCAGTAGCGGTGGCCAGATTTCCGCACTCATTATTAGTGGTCTCGCAAATGGTAGTGGAATTAAACAAAATAATATATATATATTGTGTTACTTTAGTCTTGAATCACTCTATACGTATATAGCACTCAATACACAGTTTAAAATATCTAAGCGTAAGAGCAAGAGTAATTTGATTTTATACAGTGTAGATATTCGAGATTAGAGAAGGGGTTTGTAGGTAATGGTGATTAGTAATTATATTGCAAGCAAAGTATCCTAAGGTTTCCTGGAAATAATCGATTGATCGATCCATTGTTACATCTATATTGTAAGTATATTGTTTTTTTTTATATTTAGTATACATATTAATTTATGTAATTGTTATTATCTTTCTGTGACAGGAACAATAAAGAGCTCTTCATTCATTCATTCACATCAGCTCGACTTATAAGGTAACCTTTTGAATCTACTGTGATTAATTCCTATTGCAGTTAAGAAGTATCCCCTCCAATCGATCCCCCGTTAAATTCAAACGGAGATTGATATTACGACGGCCAGAGTTGAGGTTCGAACACCTAGTGGTGCCTTCAGAATAAAGTCGTATCTATCAGGCAGGAGTTGGCCTTCAGCCACTCTATAAGTCCTTCCGCGGGTTTGGAGTGCCATCTGCACTCGCCCCGTAACGCCCCCGGTGAAGCTGTAAAGGCCAGCTGCGGCCAACAGCATTAGAAGAGAAAAAAAAAGTTACGAAGAA